TGTATTTAAAAATACATGAAAGAGTGGAAATGTAAAAATACAAGATACTCCCATCGTCTAACAATTTGTTTCTCGTTTTGACTTGACACAAAAATTAAGAAACATTAAAAAATGTAAAAATTTTCTTTATTTGTTTTTGATGTGATGCTATAAATTGAATCGTGTAAATTAAAAAATTGCTATAATTGTAAATTTATTAAAAGTCTTTTTTGCCAAAATAGTGATCAAGAAAGAAATTTGTACAGAATCTGAAAAGGAAAATGCAAATAATCATGTATTTAAAAATACATGAAAGAGTGGAAAAGTAAAAATAGTAAACACGACTCCGCTGGGGATCGAACCCAGAATCTCTGGTTTCGTAGACCAGCGCCTTATCCATTGGGCCACGGAGTCACCTTTGATGTGGTAAACGGTATTGAACATTATGTTTCAAATTTAAATACATTTAAAAGACATTTTTTTTCGTATGAACATTTAAGAAACTTTAAAATTTTGGTATGACTTTGCTGCAAATCGAACTTTATCCATTGGGCCACGAAGTCGCTGATATCTTAAACAAATGTGTAGAATCTGCAATTTCATAATGCACATATTGTATTTTTCACAATTTTGTACTACGTATATATTTCCACTTTGTGTTGGTCATACTTTTTTATTATAACTAGTATTTCATCCGTGGGATGCACGAGTTCTACCAACTTTTAAAATACTAATATTAAGAGAAAAACTAAGTCATTTTTGGTAAATTTTTTAAATGTGTAATGTGAGTTTTTTATTTTAGTTATAAACAATTTTACTACAAACAATAACTCCTATAATAATATAAAATCAAAAAATTAAAATATTTTTAAATTGAATGATATGTACAAACTTTTGCTCTCAACTTTGGTCTATCAAATGCCAAAGACTCCATATAATTTAAGAGGACCCTAGGATATATTTGATTCTATGTTCACAGTATCACAGGAGCAAATAAAAAAAATGAAGCACGCACTGGATTAACTAAAAACTTTCGTATCTCGATACTTTACCATGAAAACAGGGCAAACCCACTACGCCCAAAAAAATTCAACCAAGAACCAACATAGTGTTAAGATACAGAAAATGAAAAAATAGAAGAAAAATCAAGCACCATGAATTCAGCATGAGGTTTACTTCGTGCAAGATCCCATAAAATACAATCGCACTCTTTCCAGGCCTCTTCTCTTGCTGCCAACCCCTTCTTGGTACTTCCACAGCAGACAAATCTAACCCTTGGAGTCCATCTTTGTCGTCTATTTGGTGAAATTTTCGTATCAAAGATATTACATAACCAGGATCAACAATTGTTGACATGTCAAACAACTGCCAAATAAATACGTTTCACTATTATAGTATGAACGACTAAATTATAAACTATTCCTGGTAAAATGTTAAGATATTAGTGTTAATATACTAAAAATAAATTCTTTCAAGGGATGAAACTACATCGTTAATCTATCATCAAGGAATCAAAGGGTGAATTCTTAAAAATTATTGAATTGTAATTCTATTTACGACTAAAGCTGTAAAAGTGCAATTTAATGAGAACACATTCACACTATCAAAATAAAAAAAGAGGAAGCTAACCTGATCAGTTGCAAGCATGACTTTCAAATTTGGAAGGTACTCAACAGTGCACCTATGGAAAAATAGACATGTGAAAATAAAATAAGCAAAATATCTTGAAGAAAAAAATTTGCTAAATGAGGTTGCAAATGACATATTAAAACATGGAATTAAGAGGGTTCTTTCCCGACATTTTCACATTGTTATCATTTATTCATTAGATAAAAAGATTTTAAAATAAAATCAAGAATGACATCAAATCTGACCGGAGCAAATCAAAAGGTGCCCTTGTACATCAAAATGTCCCAACCTCGGATTTAAATTCAAAAGGCACGACAAAGATAACAATGAGAAAGACTATCACTATTATTTGTTTAGAGTGAAATTCTACACTATATTATTGGTTTGCACAAAGCACCCAATGTTTATTACGGAGTACCATTTTAAGCACAATAATGTGAATATCCCTCCTGATGGCATCAATCAGCATTGAGAAATGAGGCCAATAAGCACTACATTTGAGTAATTAGAAATCTTAAAATAATAAACATATAGTTTAAACACTAAACATGCAACACACTTTAGTTTTATTTGGTGTGAGGTTAACATCAAAATATCAAATCACGTTTTGTAAAGTAGAATTTGATCGATCAAATTTGAAGGAATCTCGGCTCTTCAACAAAGCAAATCTTTTAAAAATTTCAAATTTAAAGTAAAATGTCTTTAAAATTTTGAGACACAAAGCGAAAATTTTAGAAACGAAAAAAAAAGTTTTAGAGAAAAAGATGGAGTTACCGATTTTTCTGTTCCCACGGCGATGCCCAATCATCGGACTTGGAGCACGATCTAATCATAGCCTTTTATTTTATCTTCTTCTCCGTTCCATATTTCGAGTTGACCAGATACTTTATTTCTCTTGAAATGGATCTTGGTAGATTCACGGTTGCTTACGTTGAAGGTATGGAGAGAAGTGATGCGTCTTTCGTGCTATTTGAGATCGATGTTCCCAGGGTGAAGATGGAAACCCTAGGCTCGTCTGGAGAACACAGATATTGAAACTACAACTTCTTTCATCAAATATGTGGAACGTGGCTTCGGAATTAACGATCAGATTTTGTAATGCCTATAAAATTGGATCATCTGATTGGTGTTTGAGATGAAATTGGACCGTTAGATTGATGTGAAAATTAGATTGGAGGTTGCCCAATCAATTGGATACAGAGAAAACAATGCTTTGATGGCATTACAACCTCGGGTTCCTGAGTAGTTATCCCAAACAATCATAAACACAAGCACCCAAATTTTGAAAATCATCCTATTCGCAAGTTTATCATTAATCATTTGTACCTCAACCTAAACACTTTATGTAATACCCCGTATCAAGATGGGAATGGGAAGAGCTCAAAAGGATTGATAGTACTACTCATACCAACAAGGTGCATCTTTTTTCGAGAGCTCATCACCTAGAAACTCCAATGTGAAGCGTGCTTGACCTGGAGCAATTCTTGGATGGGTGACCCCCTGAGAAGTTTTCCTTGGGCGCGCACGAGTGAGGACAAAGTGTGCGGGAAAGACGTGTGTTGGTTTGTGGGGCCAGTCTACAATCCTATGAGCGGACACTTACGGCCAGGGTGGGGGCCGGGGTGTTACACTTTAATAGCCTTTTCTCGAAATAGAAAGGTCTTTCCATCATGGACCATCAAAAGATACTTACCATGATGTTGAAGTCCAGAAGAAACATATGGTAGAATTTTCTTCACAACATCACTGCCAATAGTCATTAGGGAGCCCAACACCTCAATAACACAGATCGTTTAACCTTCTTTGTTGGTGTGGCCTAATATAACCCAAATCTTCAGTCACAGGAAATGAAAGTAAAAGACGACAATTGGGTGGTTAATGTGCAGAATGGTGTTTTATGCTTTTCTGGCATTTGTTCAAAATCATTAGCATGGGAATACGCATAGTATCAACTTTTACTCTTTTATTATGGATATATGATACTATATTGAGGCTCTTTTCACATCCACTTTGGGGTTTGTGTGTTTTAGGGGTAGGAGCCACTTTGGGGTCACCCTACACCAGTGTCATATTATGAATTCACCATTGCTGCAAAAAGAACTTAGCTCATGAAACTATATAACATCTTAATATTTTTCACAAACCTATAGATGTGCTCAGCAAATTCATCAATCAAGAGAGACCACGCTCCTGTTATGTTGTTGATTTTTCTGTCAATGAAGTGCAGTGAACGATTGACAATATGTACATACAAGCATACATATTATATTTTTTATATTAAGAAATCACCCTAAATAAGAGTAAAACATAGAGAAAGTATTAGAATAAGAGTTCCATGTTTTAATCTTCAAAATAAGAGTTGAAAAAACTAATATGTAATAGTTCAAAAGTTGTATGTACTCTAATTCATCAAAGCATCTCTTTTTTTAATCATACTACTGCAGCCCTTGTAAGAGTGAAAGTGCATATTATTACTCTTGCTATCATTATCATCATCATCATCATCATCATCAAACATTTTTAAATGTTTTCTTAAAATCCATGAAAAAACGTTATAAGCATATAATGATTATTAACTAAATAAAGTCACAATTGATGAAGTAATTGAAACCTTCCATCAAGGATTAACCTCCAAGCGTTACAGCCTTTCTCAGTTCTCACGGCTATGTGGATAACATTAAGAAAAAATGTATCCCGTAGCATTATATAAGATACGTTTACAGAGTTTATACTGCAACTTATGAATCATCAAAGTATTAAAATATTAAATGAACTTCCAAATGTTCTTTTGAAATTGAGGCTATGAAACACGGAGTCAGAAAAACGAACCTAAGGCAGTCTATTTCTCCAGGCGAATCTTTTCACATGGCTGCCGGTTGGGTGGTTGCCGGTAGGTTCTCCTCCTCTCCTAGCGACTACTTTATCCGGATGAAAGGAGCGACTAAGAAAGCGTTCCTCAAGAATCTGGGCATAATCAGCATGGGAGGAATTTTTCGCAGGCATGACAGTTTTTTTGCAAGTTTCCGCATGAATTGACGTCATTGATTAAAAAAAATCAATGGCTTAGATCTATCTATTAGTGTGCCCAATTGAAATTGGGCTGTTGATGTAATGTGTGGCCATGATTTGTTCGGTTATTTTTATAGAAAAATTGGGCCGTAGATCTCTGATTTAGGCGGGGAAATTGGATTCTCAATTTGCATCCTTCTTTTATATATATATAATAGATGTGATTTGTTTCTTTTGTCAAATTATAACATTATTAGTCTGTGTATATGCATGTTTGGCTCACAAAATTTGACAAAATTAGTAGTTACTTTTGCGCTCAATTTGGGAGAATGTTTTTTTTTGAACCGAATGCAAATAATATTAACACCAAAAAGAAGTTTAGAGTACAAGACGAGTATACTGAGGAAGGCCCATCCCCCTATACAATACCAAAACTAATTATATACTCTAGCTACTCCATGTTAGCTCCCCTAGAGTTCAAAAAGGCTGTGATCTGATACGTAATCCAAAGAACTGACCAGTTATATATTCATTGTTATGCAATAAATGGTTCCTAGCACGCCAAATCGCATATACACATGCTGCAAATATAGTTGTAATCTTCCATCTTCTTCTACTAGGAGTAATAGCCTTCAACTTCTCAATGACTTCCTCTATAGTCCTGCCCTCAAATCTGTAATTGCACCATGCCTGGATCCCCCGAAAGGTTGCCTGAGCATAACTGCAGTTGCAAAAGAGATGTTGTACATTTTCCTCTTCATTTTTTACACAGTACACATCATGTATCAATAGGGATGAATTTTCCAAGATTGCTTCTAGTCTACAGCCTGTTTTTGCACACCAGCCATAGAATGAACTTGTGCTTAGGTATGGAGAGTCTGTTCCATACTACACTACCCCAAATAGGGACCTGTGTTTGCCCCAAAAGCCACTTATACCCTAGATCAGGTTTGTAATTATCAACAGGATGCATTTCCTTGAACCTGTCCCTGACCTTTATTAATTTTTCCAGTAGTAGCATGAGTCATTTTTTAAGGAGCAGTCCCATATGGAATTGTTTTTGAGATATCTGCCATGCACCCACTTTATCCATAAACTGTCCTCTTTCTTTGCAATACTCCAAATCAGTCTCATGATACTTGCTGTGTTCCATAGAACTAGATTTCTGATGCCCAGTCCCCCATTATTCTTTGGTAGGCATATCTCTTTCCAAGCAACCAAGGGATGTTTCTTATATTCATGGGAGGAACTCCAAAGGAAATTCCTGCAGATTGATTGGATTTTCCCCATCACCTTTGTAGGTATAATAAAAATTCTGCACCAAAAGTCCATGATACCAAATAGAACAGAGTTTATTAAATTAACCCTTCATGCATAAGAAAGGTGTTTTGACCCCAGGATTTGATTTTTTGGGACATACTCTCCACAAGCCTATCATAATCCTTAGCACTTATCCTTGATGCAGTGATTGGGCCTCCAAGATATCTAAACGGGAGAGACCCCTTGCTCATGTTAGTAATTTTAAGAAGTCTTTCCTCCAGAGGTTTGGATATTCCTCCAAAGATAATTTCTGACTTGGTAGGGTTCACTTGTAGACCAGTAGTATGTTTAAAGTGGGTGAGCACCTTCATAATGGTTTGTACAGATTTTTCTTCAGCCTTACTTGCAACAATTAAGTCGTCAGCAAACACTATATTAATGACCTTCAATGATTTGCATAAAGGATGGAAAGAAAAGCCCTCCTTCTTTGCATAGAACTGAAAGCTTCTTGTGAGATACTCCATGATTATAACAAATATTAGGGGGGGAAATAGAGTCCCCTTGTCTCAAGCCTTTTCCACCCTTAAAGAAGCAAAAATTTTCTCCATCAAGCTGTATGGAGTAGGAAGTGGTAGTGACACAAAAACTGATCCAGTTTGAAAATGTTAGAACAAACTTTTTTTAGCCAAGTCGTATTAAAATTTTAGAACAAACTTTTATTTAAACACTAAATACTTTCAGTGTAAAATGATTTTTGTGGGACGAAAAAAGTACTCCCTCCGTCCTGAAAAATCTTTCTAGTTCGGTTTATGAGATTTGACTGAAATAGTTTAAATTCAATTGATTTGATTATAAGTGTAAAATTAAGAAATAAAGATTATATATTTTAAAACTACATCAAAAGAACTACAAAATAAGAGGTGACATGACTATAAATTTTTATCGAATAACTAATAAAAATAGATAAAGAAAGTGATTAAATTTTGACCATGTGAATAGTGACTGAAAGATCATTTTAGGATGGAGGGATATTAGTTTTGAGTGTTTCTATAGTGCACCTAGAGTAAACATGCCCTTGATGATTCAAGGCTAATCTTTGAAATGATCAAGATCAATTATCATCACAGTTACATCATCCACACTACCCCTGCTCACTGCAAGGTTTACAAGTCTCTTACAGGCAGCCACAAGGCTACAAGAAGAACTCTTTTCTTCATTCTCTTTCCAGCCATCAACACTTTTCTTATTAGAGCATGGAGACCAACAACCTGCCCTTATACTTGAATGTGAAAGTGATCTTCGCCGAGCCTTCATTGGACTCTCATTTTCTTGGCTAAAATCATCGTCTGCTTCTTTCCAGATGTCTGCCACGCTTGACCTGGCCAACGCGGCCCTTAGAGACCTTTGTGCTGCAGGGCTTGCATTTTCATTGCCAAACTCACACTCATTTCCTTTGTTTGATTTCACAAGTGAGACTCTTTTCGTCTTTGATGAGGGACTTGTGCTTTTGCAATTGAATACAAATGCATTTTCTGTTGAACCTGCGGTTTCTTTGGGTTGGGAACGTGTTCCTTGCTGGCATGATTGCATCACAACGTCCACGGCTTCCTGGTTCTCAACCTTAAATAAAACACTTCAAAGTTGAGGGTGATTTCTGCTACAAGACATATATTTACAATGTTCTAGCAATTGTTTAGGTCACACCGACTACATTTTGGAGAATTTTCGGAGCGTTCAGAGCTTGAAACACAAACTTTTGGATCATGTTGATTCACTACATAAGAAACTTTCAAAAAGCACTAAATCGCGCCATTTCAAAAGGTGTAGTTCGATTTCTAAAACCCACAAAATTGAGCTTCTAAAATACTCCGTATTAGATTGAGCTTTTTTCTACTAACCTTGTCCCAAAGTCCATCTGAAGCTAAAATAAGATATTTCATGTCTGAAGTAAGGCACATTCTCCTTGTATCGGGCTCGGCTATTACCCATTGCTTCAAATGAGCATCTCCGATGCTTCTAGAAACAGAGAGTACACCGTGAACTCGCCATGCTCCTCTGTGAATCTCCAAATAGCCTCCCTGTGCCAGAAGAGCTCTCTTTAGTCAGCATTATTGTGAACTTAACACATTATGATTAGTTCAGAAGAAGAGCCATAATAGTGCAAGAGAATGACTACTTTATCCTCTATCCGTTTCCTCTCATCATCTTCTCCAGCTCTATGGTCTTTCGTTAGGGCTTCAGCAGATCCACCCCTACTTAGAACTGCCCTACAGTCCCCTAAATTGGATATTATAACCTCATCTCCTTCAATCAAAGCAGTTACACAGCACACACCACTGCACATGCCCTGCAAACCATCATTTTAGAATAAGGCTTCGTTTGGGAACAATGTTTTCAATTAGCATTAGTATTTTATATTATTCTTTAATCATGAAGATTAACTTCGAAAACACTAAAGCTACACAATGTTGAAGCAAAATACCGAAACTATTGCCAAACGGGTACTAAGAGCATTTTGTACTGTGGGAAAGAAAGCAAGGAGAATTGCAGGATTGTGTACCTTTTCCAAGAAGTCTCTATCAGTTTTCAAGTAACCAACTTTAATGGCTTCATCCCTGGCTTCACCACTACCAGAACAAGTCTTCAAACATTCCATAATATTTAAATGCAAATTCTCTGTTACAAATTCAGCAGCTTGGCTCCCTCCGTGCCCGTCATACACCCCGAAAAACCCCTAAATTTACAAAAACCCGACCCGATATCATCACGAACCCTAATTTTTTAAATCAAAACTCAAAACCTAATGAAATTCGAAAGATGGCACTGAAATCGAAACAGATTCGCGAAAACTGACCTTTTTGGGATGTGAGGACACGATTTTGTGGGAATCCTCCATGAACTTCTTGCGGCCTTTGAGGGAGAAAACGCCGACTCCCTTGGCGCTGGACCGCACGGCGGTGTTTCGGGTGGCGGTGGCTGGTGGTCTGAAACTCGGGACAGCACCGGCACTGATTTCGCGGAGGACATTAGGGATCTCAATCTGTGGAGGCTTTTTTCTCTTCAGACAACAAGAATCCATTTCGGGCTGAATTTCTTCTTCCGGCGGCTTCTCTGGAAATACTGGAGACGGTGGCTTGAAGATCCAGTGTTGAAGGAGGGTTTAACGGCTATAAACTTGGGTTTGGTAGTTGTCCGTGGAGCCGTTAGATATCGGTGGGCGGCTCAAAAGTACATAGATCTTCTACATTACCCCGTACTATTTACGCGGTCAAACTTCACTCACTTTATTTGCTCATTTTTACTAGTCATTTCGTAAAATAATATAGTATTGTCACTTCTAGTTTTGTAGAACTTTTCATGTAGTTTATTGTTATATAAATTTTATTTTAAAATTTTACTACTATAATCAATTAAATTGAATTAAAAATAAAATCGGTCAAGATTCATAACGCGTAGTGGGATTCATAACGCGTAGTGGGGAGATCTTAGATGGACGGAGGGAGTATTAACTAACGGCTCAAAGGAACAATATATTCTACTCCCTATCTCTTCAAAAATTATATTTATTACGCAGTAGGATCTTTGAATGAAATTATTTTAAAAATTACTCCGTATTATATATAAATAATGGTATATACTCCCTCCAGTGTATTTGTCCAGTTTGACTTCGAGTCAAACTGGAAAAACTTTGAGCTTCAATTAAATAAAAACTGTAATGTATTTTAACATAAAAATGACTTTATTCGATTTATCGTATTGGAAATTTTCAAAATTGTATTTCATTATGTTAATATGCAATATAAATTGAGAGTGATTGGAGTTCAAAGTTTATCCAATTTGACTTGAAAAAGTCAAACTGGACAAATATACTGAGACAGAGGTAGTAACTAATTATAAAAATTACATTAAAAAATACTCGTATATAAAAAGGTCTACTCCCTTTGCCTGTCATAAATCTTTTCAAAAGTTCATTTTGTTTGTCCTTAAAGATTTCATTACCTCTTTAAACATTGAAAATAACACAACTATATTCAATTACTTTATTTATTACACCTCATCTACACCCTTAACTATATTCCACCTACCTTCACTTTGAAACATCTTCTTTTTCTCAACTCTTTTTAAAGTTTACATCGGACGAAGAGAGTACAAAACTAAAGGTGTTATAACTATATTATTTTACTGCTGCATCATGCATTCTTCATCAAAGTATTTCTTTGATGACCATTCCAACAGATAGGTGTGAGAGTTATTTTTTGGACCATGCTACATTTACACCAAAAATTGTACCCCATTTGTATACCGCAGTTATACACAAACATTTTGATGATTTACACCGACACAAATGTTGGTACGTTAACAAAAATTTACACGGACACAAAGTGTTGGTGCGTTAACAAAAATTAGTTTTACATCAACACAAAATGTTGGTGCAAACCTGCGGGGTACAAAGTGGGGTACAAAATGTTGGGGTAGAAGTAGCTTTATCCTTATTTTTTCCTCTACACATAGCAACATCTTTTTTTTAATGTAATTGTACATCTACAACAACTTGATGACATCAAAATCATGGACAACAAAAGGAACTCTGTACTAATAATCAATTTTATACTCCTTCTGTTCCTAAATAGATTACAATTTTTTTTTCTCTCTCCTTTCAATAAATTTTGTTTGCTTACGCGATTTCATTAAGTATTTGATAAAATAAAATATTCTTGTCGCCTCTTGTTTTGTAGAACTTTTGACGTAGTGTTTTAATATGTAATTTTTATATCTTATTGATATACCAATTTGTAAATAAAATAATTTCAAAAAGTAGGGAATTTTACTCCGTAACTCGCAATTTGTAATCAAATTGGGGACGGGGGGAGTATAATATAGATGCCTCACCATTATATAATACTATCTCCGTCCCAGAGTATTTTTCCACCTTCTTTTTTACACACCATCCAATACACTTCTTTAATCCATTTTATCTTGTAATTTGTATATTAAAAAATTATAGAAATTATATATTAATAATCTATATGTTAAGACAAATCAAACAAGATCACACATGACTATATTTAGGCTTACACATTGAGAGAATTTGATGAGTCAAAGTGCTTAGATGAACAATTCCAAAAGTCAAAACTGGACGAATATTCCGGGACGGAGGGAGTAATTTAAACACACTTACTTTAAAATAAATTTTATTTATCTATACCTTTCCCTAAATAATCCACTCTTCACTACATCNTGTAATCAAATTGGGGACGGGGGGAGTATAATATAGATGCCTCACCATTATATAATACTATCTCCGTCCCAGAGTATTTTTCCACCTTCTTTTTTACACACCATCCAATACACTTCTTTAATCCATTTTATCTTGTAATTTGTATATTAAAAAATTATAGAAATTATATATTAATAATCTATATGTTAAGACAAATCAAACAAGATCACACATGACTATATTTAGGCTTACACATTGAGAGAATTTGATGAGTCAAAGTGCTTAGATGAACAATTCCAAAAGTCAAAACTGGACGAATATTCCGGGACGGAGGGAGTAATTTAAACACACTTACTTTAAAATAAATTTTATTTATCTATACCTTTCCCTAAATAATCCACTCTTCACTACATCTTAAGTTGATTTCAAAACACTTAGGTCCCAAAGACTTGTTGTTGACATAGTGATCATTATGACCTAACAATCTCCATAAATTCTAAACCATAAAATAGAAACCAAAATTAAAGAACAACGAAGATGAGTTGTCCCACTCCGCATATGATGCATTTTGAACATTATAACATTTTATGAATGTGAAAAGTACCCTAATTTTGGGTCTAAGCAACTCACATAATCCTTTGTCGTCAACAAGATTCCACCATATGAAATTATGCAGCTAAAATCCTATTTCATACATGAACATATTACAAATTTATACTCCATCCGTCTTAAAAAGATTTACACCTTTCAAAAAAATTGCGTCTCACAATCTCTTACCCATTTCAATTAAAAAACCACTTTTACCCCTTACTTTTTCAAACTCTACCTATCACATCATACCTTTTTCCTAATAATCTACACATCACATCCTACTTTTACTCATCACATCAAGGGTATTTTTGGAAAGTCAACACAAAATTATCCCTCCCTTAATTTCAACTTTAGTCAAAACGTGTAAATCTTTTTGGGACGAAGGTAGTATTTCCTCAAAATAAGCTACATAAATCTTGTTTTGGAACTAGGTATGGAAATCTTCTATGAACAGAAATTATGCGCCTAATTTGTACCAATAATTGATCTTAGGTGAATGTGCCTGAGTGGTCATTTCTGTTGATTATATGTCTTCTGTAATTCCGTCTTTCATTCTCGTCAAAATAACAGTTGCTTCCTTTGCAGTGACAGTGAATAGAACTCTTACGCTGCTGCTATTTGCATTTGGTAAGAGCAAAAAAGAAGGAAAGAGTGTATTCTTCAATCAAAACATGTTTTATTATGCATTTGGATTTTACTTTAATGTCCTTCGTAAATAGCTCGTTCCTAATTTGTTGCATTGTAATTATTCTTTTCCTTTAAAATTTAATTTTAGAGATACTATCAGCATCGGACGACTTTCCTCGATGCATCTAATCCAATGACTCTCGAGTATTCTTATTTTTTTACCAGGACGACCTTCGTTCGATGCATCTAATCCAATAACTCTCGATTATTCTTATTTTTTCACCGGGCATCATTTTCACAAGAATCGACCAACGGCGTTTTCTCCCTTCAACTTATTGGGTCATGCACAATGTTAGTCTTTCAATTTGAAAAATGTCACGAATAGTCTTTCAAGCCACATTAACGTTACATGGTTGGTAGTTTCCTTAATTTTTTTGTCAGTCCATGTATTTTTTTCATTTTCCATTATAAATATATGTGAGGAACTTATCTTTTTCATTCAAATGATTCATTCTTCATGTAGATTCATTTTAATTGAAATTATTGGTAAAAAAATGTATTCTACTTGGCTCTAAGAAGTTACGGAGTAAAATTTATAAATACTTTAAGATGAAGTAATTGTATCCTACTTTTTATAAATATTTGACTAATAGAAGCAAAAGTAGCTAATTATTATTTAAAAAATTGGAGTAATAAAAGTAAGTGTAACTTATTATTATTATTAGAAAAATGGGCATAAAATGAATATAGTTCATTTTTTTGAGGAAGAAAGATTTTCTCACTCTATATTAATAATTGAAAACAAAACAGATGTATGGACTAAAGGCAAAATTAATGAAAGGACCATTCATGCAATGCTAGCGTGCTTTGGAAAACTATTTGTGTAATTTTAAAAATTGAAAGATCAACTATTAATGCATTACGCAATACGCTGAAGGGCAAACAACGGAATTTAACCTAGAATAATTTTTTTAAAATGCGCATTTAATAAATTACTCCGTATATTGTTTGTAGATTAAAGCACTGGTAATACGTTTGAAGCCCCAGGGCTTCAAATCGGGGCTTCAAACTTTCTCTCTGCCACGTCAGCTTTAACTTACACCCAAAATTCACTGGAAATGGGTTTGAAGCCCCGGGGCTTCAAAACTGGGCTTCAAACCTTCATTTTTTACATTTTTAAATATACATCTTCTAAAATTAAATTAATAAAATGTAATTAATTTATTATCTAATTAAATTGAAACACGAATAATAAAAAAACACATTAATTAAATAAAAAAAGCGACAATAATTTAAAAAAAAGATACATTAATAAAAAAACTAAGGTAAATTATATTTCTCCTTGATCTCTCTCATTCTTTGCTCGTAGATAATTCGTCCAAACTCCGACAACGTCCCGGGGTCGGTTTGCATGACTTTCATCTCGGCCTCCTGCTCCTTTAGCTTCAACTCCTTCTCTTTAAGCTTCAACCTCTCTTGTTCTTGGAGATTGAACGCCCGAAGTTGTTCAA